CCAGGCAGGGCAGGACAGGCTCCTACAGCAGGTAGAATGGAGGCAGTGCTGTGATACACCACAGACCTGGCCCCTGTTTGCACATCTGCAGCAGGATCAGAAGCTGCTGGTGTCTTTGGTTTCCCCTAATCCCAGCTTCTTGCCCTGCCACATATCCTTGGTGTTCCTAAGCAAAGCGAGGGGTCTGGCATCAGCACCACGGCTTTGGAGGCAGCAGCTGGCCAAGCTGCGAGTGTCACACGTCCAGACACCCCTTCACTCAGCACCCTGCCCTAGCGATGGCTGTCCCAGCTTCCGGGGGCAGATCCCTGCTCCGCCAGCCAGCGAGGCCTCTGGCACCTTCCCAACAGCAGGAACGGGCTGCAAGAAGAGGGAAACATGATCTTGGTGCTCTCTCTGAGAGTCCCGAACACCAGGGCCCGGGAGCAGCCTGCCCTGCTGCCCTCTGCAGGGGTGGTGCCAGCCCACCCAGCACCCAGAGCCAAGCGCTGCAGCACTCAGGAAGGTGTGAGGTGCCCCAGGAGAGCTGTCATCTCCTCAGGACACCTCAGCTCATGGAAGACTGTCCCCGTCTGACCACAGGAGCAAACAGGACAATGCCACTTTGAAGAGGGAAACAGAAACTGTTGATTCCACACAAACCAACCTGCCTGAGCAGCAAGTGCTCCACATAGCTCAGCACCGACCCTGCCAACCATGGTTAAAACAAGGATCCTCCCATCCTGAGCTCCTGGGAAGCTGAGACACAATCCTGCTCTGCACCCCCACACATCCCCTGTGCTATGGCCAAAGGACCAACTCCCACATAGTGCAGGGAATTTGGGTCCAAAGGGGGAGAACACCTGGAGTGGCTGCATCTCCACCATGCTGGCGAGGTCTGGCCATAAGCACAGCACAAGTCACAGCTGAAAGGGCTAAAATTCTGTTCACAAGCCCAAAATCCAAAGCCCACCAGCCACGGTGGGAGCTGGGGGTCTTCCACCAGTGGAGCTGGTGGAGAAGAGCTGCTGGTGTATGAGGGGAGCACATCTCCTCCTCCTCGCACCGAAACACCGCTATTGGGCTACAAACCAGGAATAACAAAATAATCCCTTCTTATTTTGCAGAAAAGTGCTTAAGAAATCCTGTACAAGCTGGCTCTGGTGGGGGGGGACCAAGCAGTCTGGAAGCAGCAGCAGCACCACACTGGCTGGCTTGCAGGGAAGAGGCCGAGGAGAAACTTCTCCAAGTCAAAGCGGTGGCAGATGGTGAAATGTGATCAGAGTGGACATGAGCTACAAAACATTTCTACAGTTAATAATGTGATTTCAGTGGTATCTGATGTCAGCTTCCCCTCCAGCGCCTGCCGGGCGAGCTGCTCTCCCCACGGACATCTGAGGCACGCAGGAAGCTCAGGGACCTTGTCTGGTCGAGGCGAAGCACAAACTCTTGGTTCTTGGCAGCTGAATAAAAGGAAAACCAGTTCCCAAAACCATCAGTTGGAAGAGCAGCCCTCTGACCGCTGGCTGAAGTGCTTCTAGAAGTGATGGTGGCACAAATCCATGTGGTAAAAGCATTCCTAAGAGAGCCTCCAAAGCTCTCTCAGCTGTCACGGTGCCCAGGAACAGCATAGGCCAGGTTAGGCACTTGGATGAATTCAAAGTGACTAATACAGAAACAGGTCTGAACAACCTGCACGCGGCAGAGACCACAGCACCCCAGGCAACGAGTTTCTGTGTGCCTTGCTCTGCTGTGCAGGTCCCTGGAAGGCAAGTCTGCTGTCATAGGGTAACATGGGGTGGAAGGGAGAGCTCTGGTTAGACCAGGTCTTAGGCAGCCTCTTGCACATCAGTGTTGAAAATCCAGGACTTTAGGAGCATCCAGACCCAGTCATGAGACAAAGGACCCCGGAGCCAACCAGTGACAGGCTGCAGGCACACATCTGCCTGCGCTGGACGACAGGCAGCAGTTGATGACACTGGCACCAAGGGCTGTAAAGCCCCTCTGTGAATAACAAGCTGCAATCATAGAATCACAGACTGGTTTGGGTTGGAAGGAACCTTAAGGATCATCTGATTCCAACAGCCTGACATGGGACACCTTCCACTAGAAGAATCTAGAATCTAGACTGGAATCCTTCCAGCCAAGTTCCCAAACTACCTGCAAGGGGGAAGAGGAGGCATCAGGAGGGCAGAGAATTGAGCACTGCCCAGGTGCTCAGGGGCCCTGCAGCCTGTCAAGAGACAAGCAGAAGGGCTGACAGAGACTGCACTGGTGATGGGCAAGCCCCCTGGAGCATGGAATGGGGTGCTCGCTTCCCTTGCAGCAGCCTCAGTGACACAGAAGCATTTCTAATGCTCATCTCTCCCTGTGGAGCAGAAGACCTCTTGCTGGTGGCCTGGGAAGGACATCACCACCAGGCATTAGCAAACTGAGCTCAGTGCTGGGAAAGGCATGGCAGCACTAAGGCAGGATGTTCTGCTGGATGTGTTAAGGAACAGCACAAGCCAAGTCCCTGACTGGCAAAAGCCCAAGCTGTGAAAAACAAGAGGTGATGGAGGAGAGCGGGGAGGCAGGCGGCAGTGCAGCTGGGGAAGAGACACCGCGAAGAGGAGGGACACGGCCTCAGGTGCTCAGCTTCCTGCTCAGGCTGGAGGAAACACCCAACCCGAACCAGCCTGGTTGATGCACGGTTGTTTTCCCACCAGAGGCCGGGCTGGGATGTCTGTGCTGCAGGAAGAGGCTCCAGAGGCAGCTCTTGGTGTCCTTATAAGGGGCTGGGAAGAGGGAAGCTGCTGAGCAGCCTGTGAGACAGCGATACTACAGGCAGGAGCTCAGAGCCCTCCTCAGAACAGCCAAAAAGAGAAACTCGAGTGCAAGACTTCCAGACCTGGCATTTGGGAGCGTGGGAATGAGAAAGGTCTGAAGGAGCGGGAGCAAAAGGGACAAAGCAATTTTTGGCTGGTAAACAGTGACAGAAGGCCCCTGTTCATCCAGCAGCACGTCGGGACAGGGAACTCTCTGCCAGGGCGTTTCAAACCACAGAAGTAAATATTTCCTCCTCATCTGCAGCCAACCAGCGGCATTCACAGGTCAGTCCCAACCACTGCAAGCCATGATCGCTGACAGCAGCAGTAAAACCACACAGAGCCCGAGTGTGTGATTCAGAGCCTGCACTCACACCCTGAGGGAGAACCTCCACCCTGCTCTAGCTGGGTGAGGAGGGAGAACCCTGGCTGTGCCTCAGGATGCTCATCAACCTCCCCTCTCCTCTCCGTGCCATGGTTTTCCTCTCTGAGCTGGGGATTAGGCACTGACCCCTTTTACAAAGCACTGAAATGCAGCCAGGTGCTAGGGAGAGGCTGGAACGTGAGGAGCTGAGGCTTCCCAGGGGAGCTCATCCCTTCATCCAATGTCCACAGAGATTACTAGATCAGATAACTGCTATTTGGAGCTGGTCCAGGATTACTGGCCCAGTGCTGCAGAGACCTGGCTGCACGGAGCCTGGCCTGACGCTGCTTCCTCTCCTCAAGCCGCCGGGTTCTGCTTTTGCAGCCTCCCAACACAGATCATCTCATCGGAGACCATCCCTCACAGGTGACAGGGAGAGCACCTACTGCTCCAACGTGATGTTTCTCCTGGAGCTCACAGATCCCTCCCAGTGGAGAGCAGACCTGACCTCCACCAGCACAGAGCCTGTGTTCACATCCTACGGCATCCTACGGCATCCCACAGCATGCCCCCGGCGCAGGAGGTTCCACACTGCCTCCTGGGGATGCGCAGAGCCCGCGCTCCGGGAGCTTTCACACCTGCCACACACCTTCTCATGACATCCCAGATGGCACAGCAAAGCTGTCACCCATCACAACACGGTGCTGATCTCCCCTCCTACTGCTTCACCCCCACAAACCGCAGAGAGAAACAATCTGTTTTAGTGCTGGCATCAACTCTGTCAAATCTTTTGCTTTTCTGCTTTGATTCAGGCTCAAGTACCCCACCGAGCTCTGGGAACAGCAGGATGTATCTAATACATTCAAACGCAGCCTGTGTCTTCTCTGCCTAGAACCTGCTCCTGAAACATCCAGCAACAGCAATGCAGTCACAAGGTGAGCAGGACACTACACAGCTCCTGCTCACAACCCCAGCCCTTCGGCTCTGACAGTCACAGTTCATGTTCTACGGCTGCACCCAGGGCGCAGGAGAGCAGAACAACACGGGGTGCTGAGGAGGAATCGCTCTTTGGAGGCAAACCCCTACCACGAGTTCAGAGCTTCTGCTATCAACAAACACAAGAGGCACCGAGAGACTTGCAGGCAACAGCCCCATAACACTCCCCCTCTATGCAGAGGTAATACCAAAACCAAGTTTAAAACTACAGTTAATGATGAACTGCTAATTCTCCAAATTGCGTGGCATTTCTGGAGACAATCAAGTGTCTACAGCTCTGCTTGCCTCTCAGCTGCTCAGTAGAGCCCAGAACAAGCTGTCACAACACTGGATCACAGAGAAATCCTGGCACCTTCCAACAAAACACTGGCTGAAGGGGAACAAAAGCTATCAAACCCAATCCCAGAGGGATGGAGGGAGTGCATCTTCCCACAGCTCCTGGGCCATGTGCACATATATGGATATATAGATATATAAAGTTATAAAATTTGATCAAAATAAACCCAGTAAATGTACAGCTTGAAAAAAGAGCAATATCACAGTGCACCAATGTCGTGAGAAAGTCCCGTGTCCTCCCCCTGCACGAGAGCTCAGCCTGCCACCTCCCGAGGTGGGAAGCGAGCCCTCCGACCTGCCGGGCTCATGTCACCGTCCCCAACGGGTCCTTGTGCTTCTGCAGTCAGCTCTGCAGAGCAGAGGAGGCAGGAGCAGCACAGGAGCAGGCTGCTCTGTCTGCAGGTCAGTCAACAGGTCACCCCCAGGCACCAGAACTCCAGTCTCCAACCTCTCCACGCTCTGGTGCTGGGCTTGTATTTACTTACTTACAAAAGGAGAAAGTGACAAAGTGAAGACCCTCAGGGGACGCTGTGAGCGTGGGACAAGGGCTGAATTCGGATCACCGGGGACAGGTTGACCCTAAGAATCTTCTGTGCTCTCCTCCTCACTTCCTCGTCAGAGGAAGAGTTGCCCACCTTGATGGCCCGGAATTTCAGCAGGTTCAAAGTGCTCTGAGCCTGTCGAGGTTTGTTTCGGGCAGGAATGGTATTTGCTTTCTTCCTCTGCGGTGCTTCCCTCGCCTCTGTGGCTCTTCTCTTCTTCTGCCCAGTGCTCTCCCGGTAAGAGCTGCTGTCCTTCCACTCTGTTTTCCCCACCAGAGCCTCCTTATCTTTGATTTTCAAGGTCTTGGCCTGTGGTGCTGTGGTGCAGCCCTGCGATGAGCTGCCTGTGACTCTCCCATTGAGGACTCCCGAGGCTTTGCAAGCGTTGCTCTCCTGCAGCACTCCACCCTTTGGTCCCTTCAGGAGATTTAAAGCCAGGGTGGCAGAATCCGGTGCTTTCTTTATCAAATGCTTGTAGCCCTTACCCTCGGTTAGTTTAGTTGCTTTGCCTGAAGGAAACTTCCTCGGGGGACTCGGAGCCTTGAGGAGTTGAAGATCCGAGGGCGAGATCCCAAGACGCCCTCGTGTGTACTTGGACTCCAAACAGGATGCGGTGGCTTTCAGCGGCACCAGAGCTTCCAGAACCACTGACAGTCTCATGGCTGGATACACGTCAGGATACATGTTTGTAGGGAAGCCCACTGCTGCAGCCTTGGATGTGCTGGATTTTGTCTGCTTCAAGGAGCTCAAGAGGAGATTTGTGGAATCCCCTTTCGGGACAGGTTGAGTGGAGACTTTCAGAGAGCTCACTGGAACGCTGGTGCGCTCAGCAGACACCTTTGCCGCGGCTGTGGTGTTTCTGGCTGGACTCTTCGTGGTGTTGGCACAGTGCTGTGGGCTGCTCTCCTTTGTGTGAGTTGGTGTGTCTGCCGTGCACGAGCTGTACCCGTACACATCCTTACTCCTCAGAATGGTGGGCTGGTAGCCCTCCTCCTTCAGGCTCTGAATGAAGGCCACCAGCTGGGTCTCTGTGTCTGAAAGGTCCTTGGACATGGGGTTGAAGACTCGGAGGGCTTCCTCCAGCACTTTCTGTCCTGCAGAGGAAATTCTTGACCAGGAATGGACAGCTTTTTCTTCCACATTGTTCACTGCAATATTCATGGCATTAGGCAAGCGGGCGCTTTGGAAAGGTCCAAATTACTGGGAAAACAACTCTTGACACCTCAAAAGGAGAGAGAAGATAGTTAGCTCACAGCAACTGAAATCAACTCGTGTTTTTAAGCAGGGACCTGAAACTGTGAAGCCCAGGTATGGCTACTCAGAGACGACAGGTCAGATTCTGGGCATCACCCGTGTCAGAAGCATCATCAAGAAAATCCTGTCACTGATTTCTCTCTGCAAGAAAACCAAATCATCTCTCGCTCAAACAGCCTCAAACCTAAAGCAGGATTTCAGGCAATCCCATCCAACCCAGCCCAGGATGAAGGGTTCTAATGGTTAACTCAGTAAACTCTGCAGCTTGTTTCCACTTTGAGCTTGACACACCCCAGCTTTGGGTAACCAGATCTCATTCTCCTTTGGTAAAACAGCCCTGAGGACTGAACCCTCACCGAAAACACCACCTCTGAGCCATCTCAATGCTAACAAGCCTGAGCACCTCAAATCTATCCTGGCATCACATTCAGTTTTCCATCTTCCTAATAAATTCTGCTCACAAATTGATTCTGAGTCCCTGCCAAAGCTGCTGCATCCTCCTGGAGACCTGAAAGGAGAGCTGGAGGCTTTCAGCTGCGCTTCGTCAATGCCAAAGGCTGTGGGAAGACAACACCGCTCCTTGCTGCTCTCTTGTTTGAACAACAGTCTGCAACTTGCTGTCCCAGCAAACTGGTGTTGATCCAGGGGCACCCGCTGCCAAGGGAGAAGGAAGCAGGAAACTCAAGCAGGGCGGCAACAAGGAAACACGCATCACCGGGGCCAAGAGTACAATGGCCTGAAGGAAACCACAGGGATCACGCTCAGGGCACTACACAGCTGTCTGCCTGGGGAGAAAGAGCTGGTTATTGGTTTAAATACACAACAGGCACGGAAGAGGAGGCCAGTGATGCACCCAGGAGAACTGTGACCCTCTCACACTGAGCTGCTGGCCTCACCAGCTCCCCAGAACTTACAGAATCTTTAGTTTCAATGATAGCTCTGAAAATAGCGAGGATTTGGTGAAAAATCCTTTTTAGGGAAACATGGAAGGTGTCAGAGATGCTATCGGAGAGGGCAGTGTGCAGGCAACAACACTGTGACGGAAAAGTTAGTGCCTGAGCAGAGAAAGGTATGAATCACATCCAACGTTCCTCACAGACCTCTGGGAATACCGGCCCCGGAGCGGCCACCAGCGGCACAGGCAGGGAAGAGTCAGAAGCCAAAGGAGTGGCAGAAGGGGAAGCACAGGTCAGCAGCAGGGTAAGAGCCTCCACATGACACACTAATCCCAGTCAAGTGCTCTGTGGACGTCACAGGGATTTGGAGGAGGATAATGCAGGGAATCTCCCACGGCAGAGGGGAGGCAGGCAGGGAATCAACGGAGCCAAGGCCACAGCCGGTGGTGAGATTTGCCACCTCCACAGGGAACCAGCGAAGCCAGCAAGGTGTAAAGCTTAATCCTGATCTGGTAGAGAGGGAGAAGCACAAGGAACAATGGGCTGCAGAACAGATGATCTTCAGGAGCAGCTGGGACACCATAAGAGACACTTGGATGTTGGACGGAGAGGCTGTGACATCCATGGGGAGAGGACACCCCCACATCAATCCG